GGCAGGGACCAACAAGTACCATATTTTAACGTCTTTTGGTATGACGCAGTCGGGGATCAAACCTGCGACCTTCCGCTCTCCAGGCGGACGCTCTAACCACTACACCACGGAGGCGGTCCATATGGTCTTGGCCACAGATCTCACAAGGATATGGTCTTGGCCACAGATCTCACAAGGATATGGTCTTGGCCACAGATCTCACAAAGATATGGTCTTGGACACAGATCTCACAAGGATATGGTCTTGGACACAGATCTCACAAGGATATGGCCCTTGACACAGATCTCACAAGGATATGGTCCTTGACACAGATCTCACAAGAATATGGTCTTGGACACAGATCTCACAAGGATATGGTCTTGGACACAGATCTCACAAGGATATGGCCCTTGACACAGATCTCACAAGGATATGGTCCTTGACACAGATCTCACAAGAATATGGTCTTGGACATAGATCTCACAAGGATATGGTCTTGGACACAGATCTCACAAGGATATGGTCTTGGACACAGATCTCACAAGGATATGGTCCTGGACACAGATCTCACAGGATCTCACAAGGATATGGTCTTGGACACAGATCTCACAAGGATATGGTCTTGGACACAGATCTCACAAGGATATGGTCCTGGAGGTCAGTCCTTGTTGTACCCATTAATGCCAAGCCAGGCAGGGACCAACAAGTACCATATTTTAACGTCTTTTGGTATGACGGACACAGATCTCACAACCTTCCGGTCTCCAGGCGGACGCCTAACCACTAGATCTCGGAGGAGTCCATATGGTCTTGGACACAGATCTCACAAGGATATGGTCTTGGACACAGATCTCACAAGGATATGGTCTTGGACACAGATCTCACAAGGATATGGTCTTGGACACAGATCTCACAAGGATATGGTCTTGGACACAGATCTCACAAGGATATGGTCTTGGACACAGATCTCACAAGGATATGGTCCTTGACACAGATCTCACAAGGATATGGTCTTGGACACAGATCTCACAAGGATATGGTCTTGGACATAGATCTCACAAGGATATGGTCTTGGACACAGATCTCACAAGGATATGGTCTTGACACAGATCTCACAAGGATATGGTCTTTGACACAGATCTCACAAGAATATGGTCTTGGACATAGATCTCACAAGGATATGGTCTTGGACATAGATCTCACAAGGATATGGTCTTGGACACAGATCTCACAAGGATATGGTCCTGGACACAGATCTCACAAGGATATGGTCTTGGACATAGATCTCACAAGGATATGGTCCTTGACACAGATCTCACAAGGATATGGTCTTGGACACAGATCTCACAAGGATATGTCTTGGACACAGATCTCACAAGGATATGGTCTTGGACTTGGACAGATCTCACAAGGATATGGTCTTGGACACAGATCTCACAAGGATATGGTCTTGGTCACAGATCTCACAAGGATATGGTCCTTGACACAGATCTCACAAGAATATGGTCTTGGACATAGATCTCACAAGGATATGGTCTTGGACACAGATCTCACAAGGATATGGCCCTTGACACAGATCTCACAAGGATATGGTCCTTGACACAGATCTCACAAGAATATGGTCTTGGACATAGATCTCACAAGGATATGGTCTTGGACACAGATCTCACAAGGATATGGTCTTCGACACAGATCTCACAAGGATATGGTCTTGGACATAGATCTCACAAGGATATGGTCCTTGACACAGATCTCACAAGGATATGGTCTTGGACACAGATCTCACAAGGATATGTCTTGGACACAGATGTCACAAGAATATGGTCTTGGACACAGATCTCACAAGGATATGGTCTTGGACACAGATCTCACAAGGATATGGTCTTGGTCACAGATCTCACAAGGATATGGTCTTGGACACAGATCTCACAAGGATATGGTCTTGGACACAGATCTCACAAGGATATGGTCTTGGACACAGATCTCACAAGGATATGGTCTTGGACATAGATCTCACAAGGATATGGTCCTTGACACAGATCTCACAAGGATATGGTCTTGGACACAGATCTCACAAGGATATGTCTTGGACGCAGATGTCACAAGAATATGGTCTTGGACACAGATCTCACAAGGATATGGTCCTGGACACAGATCTCACAAGGATATGGTCTTGGTCACAGATCTCACAAGGATATGGTCTTGGACACAGATCTCACAAGGATATGGTCCTTGACACAGATCTCACAAGGATATGGTCTTGGACACAGATCTCACAAGAATATGGTCTTGGACATAGATCTCACAAGAATATGGTCTTGGACACAGATCCCACAAGGATATGGTCTTGGACACAGATCTCACAAGGATATGGTCTTGGACATAGATCTCACAAGGGTATGGTCTTGGACACAGATCTCACAAGGATATGGTCTTGGACATAGATCTCACAAGGATATGGACAAGATATAAGGATGTTGACAACAACATTGAGCTTTGATTGTTTATTCTTCCCCTCAGTTTTACATTTATTAAAAGTAAATGAAACTAATAAACAACAAACACGAGGTTGCTTTGCAAGTTGACAAAAGATTCTAACAAGGCAAAATAAAGAGCGTAACAATAATAATTTCCTGCTACTGGACACATACCTTACATGGATATCAACCTGAATGCATATCTCATGGGGATATCATCCTCACAAGGACACAGATCTTAGAAGGATATCATCTTGGACAATGATATTATCCTGGAAACAGATGTCACAAGGATATGGTCTTGGACACAGATCTCACAAGGATATGGTCTTGGACACAGATCTCACAAGGATATGGTCTTGGACACAGATCTCACAAGGATATGGTCTTCGACACAGATCTCACAAGGATATGGTCCTGGAGGTGAGGTGAAATTGGGTTTAACGTCGTGCTTGAGAATATTTCGCTCAAATGACGACGTGCATGCGTGTGTATGTGTATGAGTGCGGCTGCTTGTACTAGCCCAGACTGAAGCTCAGACACATTATACTGACTCCGAGCCAACCAGTCCTTGTTGTACCCATTAATGCCGAGCGCCAGGCAGGGACCAACAAGTACCATATTTTAACGTCTTTTGGTATGACGCAGTCGGGGATCAAACCTGCGACCTTGCGCTCTCCAGGCGGACCCTCTAACCACTACACCACGGAGGCGGTCCATATGGTCCTGGACACAGATCTCACAAGGATATGGTCCTGGACACAGATCTCACAAGGATATGGTCTTGGACACAGATCTCACAAGGATATGGTCTTGGACACAGATCTCACAAGGATATGGTCCTGGACACAGATCTCACAAGGATATGGTCCTTGACACAGATCTCACAAGGATATGGTCTTGGACACAGATCTCAGAAGGATATGGTCTTGGACACAGATCTCACAAGGATATGGTCTTGGACACAGATCTCAGAAGGATATGGTCTTGGACACAGATCTCACAAGGATATGGTCTTGGACATAGATCTCACAAGGATATGGTCTTGGACACAGATCTCACAAGGATATGGACAAGATATAAGAATGTTGACAACAACATTGAGCTTTGTTTGTTTATTCTTCCCCTCAGTTTTACATTTATTAAAAGTATATGAAACTAAAAAACAACAAACACAAGGTTGCTTTGCAAGTTGACAAAAGATTCTAACAAGGCAAAATAAAGAGTGTAACAATAATAGTTTCCTGCTACTGAGGACAGCAAGTTATACCTGTGAGGAAAAGCCTGATATTCCCTGTGATAATACAAACTGCAATAAAAGGCTGATATTCCCTGTGATAATACAAACTGCAATAAAAGGCTGCACCACACTGAGGTTCAGTAATTCAGGTGGATGTTGGATTTCATTAGCAGAGGCTTTACATTTACCATAATTTACATGAGTGAGGTTTAGACAAGGAAATGGCATGGAAGCTAGTGGATATGTCTGTATTTCAATGAAACAGCCTTTTTTGTCCTTCTTATTTCAATACATGTGTGATTTTCCAGACGGGGTTCCAATCCCCTGGCCACCCCCCTACACTGCCACCCCCAGCATGTAGCATACAGTACAGTAACTGGCAAATCACTTCTGACTAATATTTAAACAAAAATAATCTTTATGAAAATTATACATCAACTTTGTGAGACAAACTCTTTTACCAGGAACAAATGTGTGGATTAACAAACTTCATGCTGATCCACTAAGACACAATTGGTAAATGTCGTCTTTTGTCAGCCTAGTGCCCTGGAAGCAGCCACCAAGCTTTGTGAGCTCAGGAAGACTGTGTGCATCAAGCTCACTCAACAAGAAAATTTGAACAGGGTCATATCTGACTGTTTAAGCTCCAATATCAAAATATGTTTTTGTCGAGCTTTAAAGAAGAGTCTGGTGTTTTCTATCATAACTTAAAGTTTACAAATCTGAGAGCACCATCAGATGACATGTACAAACAGAATCATCATATACTAGCTTAGCTAACAGCAATGTAGCAAGTAGGATCTTGTCTTCCTTCATTCACAGATCTGCAGACACTGTAAACTAAATCCTATACATTTTATCTGTGAACTGTTTAACAAATTCCCTCATACTGATATTATTGGCCCCAGTCTACAAAAAGTCAGCTTGTGACAATGAGACAGTTCCCCTCTTGGATGATACATAATCACATGAACTACAAACATTTCAAACTGTTAATACATAAAGGAAACATGGTGTACCACTGTTTTATATCTCAGATAATGACACCTCAGCATCTCAGATGACACCTCAGCATCTCTGACATAAACAGACCAGCACAAAATGAAAATAGATCTGTGCATGAAACGTAACTCAATGTTCATTCAACTGCATATTTTAATGCTTACATGATCATGTCATCACTAACACCATTAACAACTAACACAAGTGGTCAATCTCTGTGAACCCCACCTGAAGGATACACATGGCCACAGGTGGTCAATCTCTGTGTACACATGGACACAGGTGGTCAATCTCTGTGTACACATGGACACAGGTGGTCAATCTCTGTGTACACATGGACACAGGTGGTCAATCTCTGTGTACACATGGCCACAGGTGGTCAATCTCTGTGTACACATTGCCACAGGTGGTCAATCTTTTTTGTACACATGGCCACAGGTGGTCAATCTCTGTGTACCCCACCTGAAGGGTACACATAGTCACAGGTGGCCAATCTCTGTGTACCCCACCTGAAGGATACACATGGCCACAGGTGGTCAATCTCTGTGTACCCCACCTGAAGGGTACACATGGCCACAGGTGGTCAATCTCTGTGTACACATGGCCACAGGTGGTCAATCTCTGTGTACCCCACCTGAAGGATACACATGGCCACAGGTGGTCAATCTCTGTGTACCCCACCTGAAGGATACACATGGCCACAGGTGGTCAATCTCTGTGTACCCCACCTGAAGGGTACACATGGCCACAGGTGGTCAATCTCTGTGTACCCCACCTGAAGGGTACACATGGTCACAGGTGGCCAATCTCTGTGTACCTCACCTGAAGGGTACACATGGCCACAGGTGCATTAGCTGGGACTAGTATCATTCCAGTCAGACATGATGATTCCAACCAAAACTAGTTTAAGATGACTGGGTGTATCTACTGTTAACATCTCATGTGTAGATATACAGCATTGCAGATACATACAGGCATCAAAGAAGAGACACACATTGACAATTCTATAAATATTCCAATATCCAAAATGATAGGTCTATACCATAAGAATCAATAATCAATAACCATTATCTGGTATCCATAATCATGATAATACTGCTTTATGTTGGCTTCTTCCTCCCTCATAATTAACATTTGAACATTTGTTAGGAACTTCCAACATTCACACCATTCAATTTATTATGTATGTGAGAGATGAGTGGTCACACAAACACACAGGCACACACACACACACTTCTTTCAGTCTCTTCATCCAATATACCACCAATCAGACACTGCACTCAACTCTTTCATCTTTTGCCCAATGTAATTCAGCACTAGTCAAAGACGGATCAATCCATAGACACAACTGTTGTAAACAAAAACACATCAACATGAATAATAGCTGACAGCAACAGGTCCAGGTGACACAAGACAGCACACATACTGGACTAGATCATGGGGCACCAGCACCTGTGAAGACCTGACACTCACACTCTCAGATACAAGGGGCACCTGCACCAGTGAAGACCTGACACCCACACTCTCAGATGCAAGGGGCACCTGCACCAGTGAAGACCTGACACTCACGTACAAGGGGCACCTGCACTAGTGAAGACCTGACACCCACACTCTCAGGTACAAGGGGCACCTGCACCAGTGAAGACCTGACACCCACGCTCTCAGATACAAGGGGCACCTGCACCAGTGAAGACCTGACACTCACACTCTCAGATACAAGGGGCACCTGCAACAGTAAAGACCTGACATGCACACTCTCAGATACAAGGGGCACCTGCATCAGCGAAGACCTGACACTCACACTCTCAGATACAAGGGGCACCTGCACCAGTGAAGACCTAACACCCACGCTCTCAGGTACAAGGGGTACCTGCACCAGTGAAGACCTGACACTCACACTCTCAGATACATGGAGCACCTGCAACAGTGAAGACCTGACACCCACACTCTCAGGTACAAGGGGCACCTGCACCAGTGAAGACCTGACACTCACATTCTCAGATACATGGAGCACCTGCACCAGTGAAGAGACACCCACACTCTCAGGTACAAGGGCAGCACCAGTGAAGACCTGACACTCACATTCTCAGATACAAGGGGCACCTGCACCAGTGAAGACCTGACACCCACACTCTCAGGTACAAGGGGCACCTGCACTAGTGAAGACCTAACACTCACGCTCTCAGATACAAGGGGCACCTGCACCAGTGAAGACCTGACACGCACACTCTTAGATACAAGGGGCACCTGCTACAGTGAAGACCTAACACCCACGCTCTCAGGTATAAGGCGTACCTGCACCAGTGAAGACCTGACACTCACACTCTCAGATACATGGAGCACCTGCACCAGTGAAGACCTGACACCCACGCTCTCAGGTACAAGGGGCACCTGCACTAGTGAAGACCTGACACGCTCTCAGATACAAGGGACACCTGCACCAGTGAAGACCTGACACGCATACTCTCAGGTACAAGGGGCACCTGCACCAGTGAAGACCTGACACTCACACTCTCAGATACAAGGGGCACCTGCACCAGCGAAGACCTGACACCCACACTCTCAGGTACAAGGGGCACCTGCACCAGTGAAGACCTGACACTCACACTCTCAGATACAAGGGGCACCTGCACCAGTGAAGACCTGACACTCACACTCTCAGATACAAGGGGCACCTGCACCAGTGAAGACATGACACTCACACTCAAGTAGATGGTTTGCTTTCCTCCATTTTGTATCTTTCAGTTCACAGACATTTACAACAGCATTAAAATGTCCTTTCACTTCAGTATCACTGGTTCAGTATCACTGGTTCAGTATCACTGGTTCAGTATCACTGGTTCAGTACATTCTGGACACCAATTTTAGGAATATTTTAAATCAGCATCAGTACAGTAATATTTGAGAGATTCTGGTTGACAATGTTCAGAAACTGAAATACAAGTCATGACAAAATATCAGAAACAGTTCTCACAGATGGCACAGTCACTGGCAACAGATGTACCATTACCCCCCAATGAAGAAAGTAATTACAACATTAAGCATTTAGGAAATAAAAGCTGCTGCTCTTTAAAAAAAAGCTAAATTTATATCGACTTATAAGCAAATTGCTTACATATCTGTAAACTTCAACTTTGGGTATCAATCAGAATGAGATAAAATTACATAAATCTATGAGCCTCATGCAAAATACATGATCAAACAAGCCTTGCTGTCTGAATCTAGGGTGCTGTAGCTCAGCCAGCTTAAAGACATGAAATAAACTGACACATCAGTAACTTGAAGCACTGTGGAACATACTGGGAGTTCCGAGGTATAACATTAACAATTCAATGAGATTCCACTGCACCAAAAAGCATTTCAGTACGAACATAAATTATATCAAGTCCATCTTAAACAATTACAATTTTCTGAATTGTGGAAATATTGTTTGTTAAATAGATATTATGTTCGGATGCTGTGGACCATGTGGGCCCCGACACTGCTCCGTCATTACCATGGCAACAGTACTGCTGTACTTGCAGTGTTTAAGAGCCCCACACTGATCCACTTCAGGAAGACTCTAGTATACAGCAGGAAAAGACAGCATGGAGGACTATCTGAACTACAGTCAACGTCAACCTGGATTCGTACAACAAAACGAGACAAAACACCTTTCACTTTGGCTAATAAGAATATCAAGGCTTTTCTTTTCAAATAAGTGCAAGTTGAAATTTTTTAGCTTAACTAAGCTGTAGTTTCTTTTCATAAACAGGTGCACAGCATAAAATTCTTTGCCTATGGTTGTACTAGGCACCACATTCAAACCATTGCAGATAGAACCATCCCACAGATTTAATCATGCCTAACCACCCAGAACAGTGAGCAGCTCTTCTTCATAGAAAGCAATGACAAGCATTATTCCTGCCCCAAGAAGCATCCCAAAACACTGCAGGAAAAGATGACAGAAAGGGTGTTCCCCTTGCTTGGTGTCCACAGACGTCATCTCGGGAAGCATGTCTACAGTAGCAATGTACATGAACATCCCTGCAACACAAGCAAAGATCCACTCTGAAGCCTCATTGATGTTGCCAATGGCAACCCCGATGAGCATGCCAACAAAACAGAGCAGGGATGACACGCAGTTATAGACCACGGCCTGCTTCACTGACATGCCAGCTCTCAACAACACAGCAAAGTCCCCAATCTCGTGTGGAAGTTCATGACAGAAGACAGCAACGGAAGTGCTGAAACCACCAGTGATGCTGTTTGCAAAGGCAGCTCCAATAGCCAGGCCATCGCTGAAGTTGTGGATGCCGTCCCCAAGGATCACCATCCAGGCAATGGATGCCACAGAATTGCTCGACATTTCGCAATGTCTGTGGTGTGAATGGCCGCTGTGGGAATGTGGGAGGGCTGACAGCATGCCTTCTTCTTCAGCACTCTTGGGACTGGAATGGGAGTGTTCTTCTTCTTTGGGCCGACAACCATCATGGCTGGTATGAAATACTTTATGATGCGTTTCATCTGCAAAGCCTTTCAGAGACTTGTTTGGATGAACAACCATGACCATTTCCTCACAAGACTGATAATCTGGTTCATCGTAGGCAGAAAGTTTTTTTGGCAATGTGGCTCCGATCATCCTTGCAGACTGTTTTCTGTTTGGGAGACAAAGTCTTTCTGGTGTTTAGTTTTCGCTTCCTTTTAATGTCAGTGACTATTGTCAAGATCCTTTCCATCAGAAAAAAGAAAAACATCCCTGCAAGTCCACACAGTCCCTTAAATACTGCAGACTTATGTATATCGTCACTGTGCAAACCTTCAGCTCCATGGTTGTCATGGTTATGCAGACGATGTCCAATAATCGCATGTGGCAGAAGATGCAACAAAGCATCCCCAGTCAATGTACCGACAGCCAGGGCTATGAGGAACTGCAGCATGTGGTTATAAAAGACTTTCTTCATGATGGGGATGACTGCTACACCAAGCAGGCCGACCAGACTGATGATGACCACAGCCAGCGTGCTGTAGCCCCACACCTCAGCAGGGATCCCGCTGACGCTGATGACATCCGGGGAGTGTGCCGGGTGCCCAGTGACCTGGCATCGAGGGTTGTCCAGCTGATAGATCAAGGCTGGGGATATATGGAGGAACTGCTTCACATTAAACGTCTTCGCATTTTGTAAATGATAAAGATCAAGCAAATTTCTTAAATCTAGACAGTCAGTGTGATCTTTCTCAAGATGGGATGTCACAGCTCTTTTCTGCAGTTTTTCTTTAATATTATCCTGTTTCTCACTTTCATGTGGCACAGTCTTAAGGGGGGATGATCCATTTGGAAAGTTATCAGAATGATTACCATGTTTGAGGTGATCCACAGCAGAGGTGTCTGCTTCCTCTTCATCGTTGTCATCATGGTTGTGATCATCGCTGTGATCATGGTTGTGATCATCGCTGTGATCATGGTTGTGCTCTGTCACTGTGTCACTTCTGTGTTTGACGTCATTATGATCATGACTGTCACTATTACTGGCGTGATCATGATCATTGTCTGTGTCTGATGAAAGTATTTTCAATTCATGAAAGAGTTTTTTTAAACTTACAATTGTGAGTTCATCGTCTTTTCCAAACTTTTCAAATATTTTCTTCACGAAATACACACCATGTTCCAGAGAGTCATTTCCCTGTGTTCCGATGCCGTCATGTACGTGTTCATGATGGAGACTCACGTTTTTCACGTGTTGGTCACGTGGTTTCCAAGTCTTCATCTGTGTGGAATTAGACAAGTGATTCAAATTGGCATCCTCGTCCGATCTGCATGACGGGCATAGAAAATACAGACAGTAGCAGACGACACACAATCTATGCATGACACACATTCTCCCTTCCAAGCTGAATGACGACAGATGAACGATGATATGAGGCAAACTATCGCATAAAGCGATCTCTCTTTGTTCTGCGGACAGACTGTGAGCTCAAAGAGACAAATTAGGGCGTACACTTCACTTCTAGGGGAGTTGCCAACTATTGGAATGTATATTACCACCCAACTTCGCTCACGTAAGACCAATTCACGCTTAAATGTCCCGGTTGAAAGTCCACAAATCTTCGTTTTTGTGGGTCGTGTGCAAGACTCTAAATGTGAAGCCCAATATGGCGGCTTAAGTAGATGTATGTGACGTCACACGCACTTCACGTTTCCTCGCCAGTTGTTCATTCCCATAATGCATCGCTCACATGATTGCTATAATTAGAACATGACTCCCACCACAGTATGGGAATCCGAGGGCGCGTGACACGAGTGCAGCTGTGACTTGCCTGGCAGCCAGGATGTAACTGACAGGTTTCCCATTTCCAGCATCATCACCCAGCGCTCTCAAAGCTCGATCACAATCTAACTACACGGACGGCGGCGAGTAAACCCTGGCCTTCATGTTTAACATTGTTTACAAGTAACTGTGCTGTGCTCAGCAAGACGACGATGTCCAATATTACGGGAAACAAGCACGTACAGCGTTTAGTTCACATTGCAAGGCAGGGCATCGCCATTGTGAGCAAATGTTTAGAGTCTTCCTCCGTCCGTCTGTCCTCTCTGGAACTTAAAATGTCCTCTCCAAATCTACTGAACAATTTGTATCATTTATAAATTACCATGTTCAACTCGCCCCACAATGAAGTCAACGACACACCAAATATAAACCCATTAACCGGCGTTATAAACAACATGCACATCAAGGTTTTCATTTGCTAAATATGCCTCTCGTCTAACAGTTAGTCTGTCATACAGACCCTGAAACAAATATATCCTAGAAACCCCATGCATGTCTAGAATGTGTGGCAAGTCTAGAATGAAGAAAGTCTCAGGGCTCCTTTTCATTATATATATATTTTTTTATTATGCACTGTTTTATCTGTAAAATATGTTCATTTCCAAACTAGTTGTTAGTCTAACAGTGTGCTCAATCGGTTATCATGCTGGGGGTATGTCTGACCTCCACGCCTAGTTGTTAGTCTAACAGTGTGCTCAATCGGTTATCATGCTGGGGGTATGTCTGACCTCCACGCCTAGTTGTTAGTCTAACAGTGTGCTCAATCGGTTATCATGCTGGGGGTATGTCTGACCTCCACGCCTAGTTGTTAGTCTAACAGTGTGACCGCTCAATCGGTTATCATGCTGGGGGTATGTCTGACCTCCACGCCAACGCCAATAGCTGAATAGCTCTGGAGAGACACACCTATAGCATATAGCACACAACATAGGAATGTGGGAACGTGTGTGAGTGATATGCATTTAAAGAAAGTGCTCTTCTAAGTTAGAGAACTTGAGCCCAATTCTTTTTCTTCCTGGATAAAGTATGTTTAAACCAAGAAAGCTTCTGTGTGAAGAAAACCCACATTTATATAATGCAGGAATCACTTTTGACATTAGGCGGTGAAATAAATAACCTCATTGAAAATATTACCATTATGTAGCGGCCACTGCTTTAGTTATCCTTGTGTATGTGACAATTACTATTTAAGATGCTTTTAGTTTTTAATTATTTACGCGGGTTTGCGTAACATTCTTCTATGACTTCAGTAAACACTGGATTGTGATTGGTTAATTAACGTCATTTTACGGTAATGCATTATTTTTGTCTGCCCACCAACATGGCGGACACCAAACAACCTACTGATGCATCGATAAATTACGTCGATTTTGCTCTCGGAAATTACACATATGTCTTTAAAGATGGATTTAGCGATGACGGGCTCGACACACTACTTGCGTAAATCACAGCAATAGGTGTTAATACATACAAAAGTGTTTCGAAAGCATGGAAACAAATATTCAGTCAAACAACATCAAAACATCGTCTGCTTTCTGAATAAAAATATAGCAAGAACAATATGTTTACGCTGATCCTGTGTTATGTCAAAATAGATTAAGGAATAGACTGCTACATAATCTTTAAATTTATTATCAGCTTTCGTCAACGATATCGCCACTGATCTTGATCCGGTAACGGAGGATGCATTAACATCGAACGCCGAAGAAATTTTAATGCCTTCGGTCCACATAAATAAACAGTTGGGTTATCAATTCACACAAAATGATATATTTTTGAGAAATTTGTACGGTTTCAAATTTAGCGGTAGTACAACACATTTACAGAATCTGCAAAATTCACTTAAAACCGTTCTGTTTATCCCAACATATTTTTTTCTAAAAATATAATATTGTTGAACAAAAGATTTAGCTTAGTCATGATCTCTCTTATCCATTACACTGCTTGATCTAAAGTAGTCCAATAAAGTATAAGTAATTACCTTACCGTGTTTATGCCAGAGGTACACCTTCATGTCCTGTTCCATCCTTTCGGATATCACCACAAATCTGGCTCTTTGTCAACAGCCTCGCGAACATGCCAGCGAATCCGATTCAATTTGAATCCACTACACTTTGAAGCCACTAGGTTACAAAGCACTTTCCAAATTGTAGAAAATAATATCCGTAGAATCGAATTTGAGCACAAAGTACACACATGAGTGTGTAAGATTCACCACCACAGTGACTCTTCTGTCACGCAGACGTAGAGGTGCGTGAAATCGTCAAGTTGACAGGGCGCAAAATTCAACAGTATCTAAATTCGGTACAACCCGGACTTCTCATTACAGCAAAAGCGCCTCTACTCTTAAATTTTGTACCAGTTCCAGTAATTAGATATCAAAGACTGTCTCAGTCATACAATCAGGTTAACCTTGCGCAAACTGTCAGAGGCTCTCCTGTCGCATCTTTCCAAATTTCCAATATGCAACGTAAATGTAAACAATGACTTCCGAGACAAGGTCAAGGCCATGAGGTTGGGGTGGTGGGGAAAGGGTCTACGGTGGTATTTTCAAATGTGAACCAAGCTTTTTAAACCTATTTGATATATGTTTGCCAATTTATCAGTTAATGATTGGTGATTTATGCACTGATAAAACATAACGTTATTTGTTATTACTGAATCTGGAGTTTGTTAGTTATTGACAGTTTGCCACCAATCACCCCGTTACGGGCGATGCCACTTGAGACTGGAATGCGAGGCCGCTTCACGTATTGACTCGTAACCAAAGAAAGAGTTCCAACTGAAATTGTTCATAAAATTGTCATGGTAGAAAGGAGATAAACCTACTGTGTTGGAAAATCAGAGGTATATAACGAAATTATAATAGCTCTAAATTTTTCATTTAAAACCTCACGCTACGCGTTCGGTTTTAAATGAAATTTAGACCTATTATAATTTCGTTATATACTTCTGATTTTCCCACACAGTAGGTTTATCTCCTAAATATATTCAAAGAAATATATTCTGCTCGAAAATCAAAAATTTTCCATAGAACACGTGAGCAGATGGAAGTAAATGTCCCTCGAGAATATCTGTGTACGCTCACTGTTCATATTCCCTTCAAATAGACAGAGCGGCGTACACAGATATGCCACCCCACACGTTAAATTTCGGACTGTACTTTGGGCGCTGATACAAAGGTTTTTCAGTTTGTTTGGTCCAGAATTTCAGTGTATTAGGAAACAGCCACACAGAACTTTCATCTGAGAAAATCACATTGTCACAGTTAAAATGTCTATGCTGTAACCACCAGTTCAACCTTCGCTCCTTTTGTTCAGGTTTCATGATCGGTGATGGAATTCCTCGACTTTTCTGCCAACCCATTTCATGCAGCTTAGTTCTAATTGTCTCCTTACAGACAGAAAAACACAAGAATACCAAGCCGCCTCCTGTCACCGACAGTAAATTTTCTGGGCCTACCTGCGCCTCCCTGGTGCTCAATGCCATATCCATTTGCAATATTTTTTCAAAACACGATAAACAGTGGACAAGGGGATGCCTGTTCTACTTGAAATCACTTTAGCTGATCTGATGTCCTTGTTATAATACTCTAAAATCAACTTCCTCTTCTCTAAATCATCATACTGGTGATCACTGAAAATGTCGTCTGCTAGCAAGTAAACAAAGGGGGATAACTCTTCACAAACTAATGAAAAAGGATTAACGCAGTCGTCTCTCTTGAATGAAACCAAGCACTTGATAGCTGGTCAAGGTTGTTTATACTAGAAATCCAATTAAATATATTCCTAAAATTCTCAATTTATTCTGGTCATACTATATATATGTTTGTATAACACGTCCTGTTTCATTACAACAGAAGCTACAACGTGTGCTGTCTTCACATCCCTTTTATTAAGAAGACTGTCGACAGGGTATGATGCACGATGATTCGATACTGAAACCAGCTTCGTTAGCTTCGACAGTATTGTTTTACAGTGTAGAGAACAGCTGTAAAGGTTAAACAGTTGGATTTAAATTAAAAACGATTTCCAATGACAAGATTGTCCATTGTTATCAAGAAGATCATTAATTAACCGTCTCTCTTTTCCAAACCATACTTTGTAAAATAAAATGGTGTTTCATATTTGTGTGTTCTAGTTACACCATATGTAATGTACGAGGATACCCTTATCATCTCTACACTCCAGATGGATGTTATCTATGAACATCCATCAGGCTTCAATAAGGTCACTGTACGTAGTATACATTACTTATCTTGATAATCTTTGTATGTCATAAGTATATTTATATATCGTTTTTAATTATGACCGCAATATCTCCTGGGTTACGAAATAATTTGTGTTGGCTGATGTTGATATCATTTCACAAAATATAGAAACATACATAACATATAACATTTGAAGATACTTTAATAACAGAAAGATCACATTACATAATATATATTCATGAATACAATATTATACCAAAGCATACGTTTCACGTCTATATAACACATCTATAACATCTGCACCTTCATTATACAACGATAAACAATAACATATCTATAACAGCCGCTCACTAAAACCAACATATTTACGTACCTGTTTTCATGATTAGTTTTATACAAGGATAATAGTATGTATGTTTGTATGTATGTAATGTATGTATGTAATGTATGTATGTATGTATGTATGTATGTATGTATGTATGTATGTATGTATGTATGTATGTATGTATGTATGTATGTATGTATGTATGTATGTATGTATGTATGTATGTATGTATGTATGTATGTATGTCAGGCTAACTGTCTTTACCCGTGTCAACTGATAGAAGCACATCTGTGATGTGTGTCAGGTCTAACCCTATGGCACATCGTACAGTAAAGTATTACTATGTAAAGGTGGGAGGGCTGTCTCTTGATGTGTGTCAGGGTTAACCCTATGGCACATCGTACAGTAA